GTTAGATTGAGTTTAGGTCAAGTTAATATTCAACTCGGAAATTTTGGGTCAGGTTTTTAAATTGATCTAACCCATTCAAAGCACTAGTCATAACAAATTTAACTCTGATAGTTGACATTAGAAGGGTCACATGATTTGGGCAATAATAATAAAAAAGAATATAAATATAAGTAACCTTTATTTATAAAGAAATTTTGAGAGCAAATATTATTCTCAACTAAAGATGAAGACACACTCATATATATTTTAATTTTACAGATGTTCAATATCAGGATCTCAACACTTATGCTGTAGATTCCATATTTGCCCAAGGTATAATAATCACAAGTTTATGCAAGCGCTACCAAGAATACATAATAATGACTATAGTAAGATTAATATAACTATAATGGTACAATTATAAAAGGTGAGTGATAACTTAAAGAATTAGACAAATACTAAAGTGATGAGACACAGGAAAAATTAATTGTTACAGTATAGATACAAAAAACTTATATAAAAGCTTTGAGCAAAAAGAATTTAGTAACTATTTAATTAAATTCAATAAAATTTTTATTATTATTATTTCACATTTCTGAAGAATCAAGATAAAAAAATTTTATTAAATTTGGTTTGGTGGTTGCTGAGTTTAAAATTATACAAAAATTTCACTGCAGCTATGATTAATTAAATTTTTTGTAAAACTTTGAATGAAAATACTCAGCAACTATTTAATCAAATTAAATAAAATTTCCTTTTATTCTACAATTCTGTAAAACCAATATAAAAAAATTTATTGAATTTGGTTAAGTGGTTGTTGAGTTATCTTTGCTTAAAGTTTTATAAAAACTTCTCCACAGCTATTATTTTGATGAATTTTTTTTTATCTTGATTCTACAGAATTGTAGAATAAAAACAAAAAAATTCATCAAATTTGATTAGATAGTTGCAAGCTTTTTCATTCAAAGACTTTGGATAATAATAACTTATTAATCACTAAATCGAATTTCAATAAAAATTTTTCTTTTTATTCTACAAGTTCTGTAGATTCAAAATAAAAAAATTTTGTCAAGTTTTGATAGGTGGTTGCCAAGTTATTATTACTCAAATTTATCTCTTACACTGTCTAGCAATTGCAAGAACACAGTTACTCAATCATCTTAGTTAAATATTATGGGTTGATCTCAATTTACTAAAAGTCCATTGCAGATTAAGTTTTGACAATTATTTCTGATGTTTAAACTATATTGAGTATCTTGAAATGTTATGTAGTTTCTGAAGGACCCCAAAAAGTAAGCAAAAAATTCAAAAAGTATAAGGTTTATATAGTGCCAAAAATAATATTGACAGAAAGCCCTCAAATGGAAGATTTAGATTGCTTATGACACTATATACCTTTAAATTGCAGCAAATTTGCCTGCAAGTTGGTGTAAGAAATAAAAACTAAATATCTTCTAAAGAAAATTTGGGGTACTCATGTCAATTATTGCTATGCCAATAAAGTGATAAGTTATGTATTTCTATTTCTATAATAATTTTCTTTTAATTTACTTATTGGCACAGAATTGTTATGTTATATACTGTGCAATAACTTAAGTTTTATAAGGTATAAAAAGTACTATTTGGTCTTTTAATAAAACATATAGATTTTTTATGCTGTTTTTTTTTTCTGAATTAGTTTGCTATAGAAAGAGTCAGCTTTAACTTTTTTATAATAATGAAAATCACTTTAAATATTATTTATAAAAATAAACATTCTTATTGTTTGTTATAGAAGCTACTCACTCTATTAAATGAATAGCTTCTGTGGCCAACATTACTTCTGTGCCTAAACAACATTGTATAGTATGAAATAGGGGTCGCAAACAAGCTGCAGGATATTATGTAATCAGAATTTGTGAGTATTGTTATCTTTCTCTTTTTTTTTTTTTTGGTCTTAGCACCAGTGGGTATCTCTACTCTACTTATTTTTAGAGTGTGAAGAGGAGAATTAGCTAGACACAATGTCAAGCAGAAAATTTAAAAATAAAGATCTCTTAGATTATCAAGTTACTCAAATACTAATTTTCTGTTTTGCTATAACTCAGTTCTGTGATTACTATTATGTAGTAGGTCCAGTGACTCACAATAATGAACTGTAGGTCCAGTGACTCACAATAATATACCACCTTGTAACTTTATTTACAAGCAGTTCAGAAATTTATTTAATTGCTAATCTGAATAAGATTAGAACAATTTTTATATTAGAATTTGGGGCAAAATCCCTATAATATTAACTATATGCTAGAATCTGAGTAAAGTTAAATAAAAAGTAGTTTTTTTTATTAAGTTAACAACCAAAGCAAATTAATTAAAAGTTGTAGAGCTCACTGAGACGTATCTAATAGTGGTTAGATCATTCAAATTAGTCTAAAATATTATCAAAAAATGATTGACTAACTATATAAAATTTCTATATAAACAATACTTTATTTATATTGAATTTTATATAGTTGGCCAGTTATTTTTTTGGTATTTACAAGGCCAATCTGGATAATCTAACTATTATTAGATACATCTCAGCAAGCTTTACAACTTTTAATTAATTGACTTTGGTTATTAGCTTAATAAAAAAAATACTTTTATTTAACTCTGCTCAAATTTTAGCATATAATAAAAAGTTTATTGTACTTATAAGACTGAAATATATATGAGGGGTAAAAATTAAAAATATTTGCAGAAAAAAGCCAAAAATAAATAAACTAATTACTATAAATAAAAATAATTTGCACAAAAAGGATCAAAAATAAACAAACCAAAACCTAATCTATCTATATATATTTTGAAATCCTGTACTTATCCCCAAAATTTACTATTATTCCAATATAGTAATTATGCTAATCTTATTCAGATCATTAATTAAGAAGAATGTTTAAAGCCTGGCACCTTATAATTTTTTGATTTTTTTGATTTTTTAATTAATATTAGGATTAGGGCTAGAGATGGGTTAGTGAGAAGTATTTATATATAGTAAAATTGTATTTTTGACACTTTTACTTAGTTAACCAAAACCAGTTTAGATAGCTGTTTTGAATTATTTTATGTTTTTGTCTTTGTCATCTTGCTTGTTTTGTTCAGACTGATCTGTGTTATATATTGAATAATTTTATAAGGTGTCAGGCTTTAAATAACCCCCAATTAAGAATAGAGGATATGTAAATCATTTTGTTATATGATTTTGGTAGTACAATTAGATTTATATAGAAATTGATAATATGCTACTAATAAAACTTTTTATGATTTTAACCAAAATTTTATAAAATATAAATAAAATAAATTATCTATTATGGTAAAATTTTGAGCTATTATATCATTTAAAAAATATATACTTATATATATCACAAAGTTTTTCTGGATTGGCTCAAAATTTTCTAGGGTTGGCTAATCTATATATTAATTTTATTAATAAAGTTTTATACCTGATCTTTAAAATTTAATATCTTACTATTATTGACCAATTTTAATGATTTTATAATCATTAGAATCAGAAAAACCTGCTCTACAAACTTTTCTTAAAAATTAAAATTAGTTTATTTAATACTATATTTTATAAAATTAAATATAAAAAAAATGTACCATTAAGTTTATATATAATTTTAAAACAGTACCCTCTACCCTTAAAACAATATTTTTTTTTTTTTTTGCGAATTTATAGACAATATTAAGATGACGATAGTATTAGGGTGATTCATAATTACATATTTCGAAAAATAAGTGGGTACAAATGTCCTTTTTCTATTTTTCTATTTTGAAGGCAAAAAATGATATAGAAGTTATCTGGAGATAAAATGAGTAACCTTTTTTTTGCTGATGTATTGTTATCATATTGTATGATACTATCGTAATAAATTAATAAAGAACTACAACTTACATTTTTTTAAAAATTCTTAAGTAAAATTACATATTTATATTCAAATTATTATTTAATAATACCGCCGAAAAACTTTAAAAGAAAAGAACTTAAGAAAAATCATAAAGCTTGATAATTTTTTAAGATATCGATCTAATTCAATTGTTTGTAATAAGTTCATCGATTTCTTATTTGAGAATATTAGTTGTATTTTTTATAAGTACTAATCTTTTATTAATACTTCTAAATGTGTAATTGTCGATCAGAATTATAAGGCATTTTAAAATATAAATGTAAAAGATAACAAGTTTCAAAAGAAAAATTCACGATCATGAAAAGTATTAATTATTGTTATTATATAAATAAGCTTACAAATCAAAATAAATAAGACTTATGAATTACTGATTTTGAAATAATTACATCACTAATATAATTCGAAATCTGGAGTTTACTAGTAAACCCTGAAATCAGAAACTTAATTTTGAATCATCCCATTAAAGTAATTTTAATGAACTTAAAAGTTTTATTTTGTGAAAATTTTAGTAAACTTGTTTTTTATAACGTAAATTGAAAAAATTTTTTTAACGAAAATTGTATTTGGAAATATTCGAAAACGATACCTTTTATTGTAGTACATACCTTCCGGTAAATAAGGATTCGGATTTAGGTATTGTCCAGATACCATTTTTTCTAGGCGATGCAGAATCTACTTAAGTAGATTTTGAATCTTAAACTATTTGAGTGTAAAACAAGTTTTATCATAATTCGATTATTGGCATTTTGAAATTTTTTTCTGATCGATTTAAATGGTCAAAGATCAAGATCACACTTATCACCTTAGATCGATGGTTAAAAGTTGCTAAACAACATCGACTTAGTAGTCGTTAGTTTAGGTCTCGACCATTGACGTTTGACGGAACTATTTTGTATATCTAATTGACAAAATTTTAATAACGAAACCAAGTTATTTCGTCATTTTCATCAAGGATTTGATAATTATAAATCACATTTCGAATAAATTTGTTATAATTCGAGTAAATTCGAGTGAATGCATTAAGAATATGATTCTAGCTCAAGAGTTATAAAACTTTTTTATTAACCCAATATTAAATAATAATATAATAATATAGCTTTAATTACATTTTTTACCGGCTATTTGTCGAAATATAATGGTGTACAATACATCACCACCGAAAAACGTTAATTAACAGACGGAAATCTCGGATTTTTTTAAACCTTCTAACATGCTAATTGCTTTTTCATTCTTAAGATCTGCTGCTGACTTTAAATAATCTAAGCCGAGTTGTTCATTCTTTTCCATCATCCCAGGTTTTCCATTCAGGTAAAGATCCCCTAAATAAAACATTGCTTTGTCGTTCTTAAGATCTGCTGCTGATTTTAAATATTCTAAACCAAGTTGCTCATTCTTTTCCACCTGAAGTTTTCCGTTAAAGTAAATATCACCTAAAGAATACATTGCATCAGCGTTCTTATCATCAGCTGCAGATTTAAAATAGCGTATAATTTTTTCACATTTTTCTTTTTTTGTTTCTTCATCATCATCATCTTTTTTAAGTTTTTTAAGTAGTAAAATTGCATATCGATACTGTGCTTCAACATGACCGTAGTCGGCTGCTTCTTTATAAAGTTCCATGGCCTGCACTGGATCTGGTTCAACAACATCATATCCATAAGTCAAATAATATCCCTTCCAATATATTGCATATTTATCGTCAATTTCTGCATTTTCTTTAATACATTTCCATGCTTTTGCATAATTCTTAGCTTTGTGATATTTGATACCTTCCTCGAGAGGCGTGATTGTAGGCATGATTTTAATAAAGTTTGACTGTTTATCTTTAACAAAGAGTTGTTTTTCTGATGAATTTATATAGTATACTGGTTCATTATTATCTTCTTCAAATTCTAATATTTCATTTTTTTCTAGTAGTGGTTCATCAAAGGCGACTGGATAATTTACGGTTAGTTTTTCAAGTTTTTTATCTAACTTTGCAATTTCTATTCTTTCATATGGTACTTGCTGCCATGCTATTTAATAATTAATCATAAATATGTCAAGTATTAAAATAAAAAATATTTAACTTATACTTACTTTTTTCAATTATTTTAATAAATTCTTCTTGAATCTTTTTATCATCTTTTTTAAATTTTCCACGTAAAAGTTTTTCTCTTTGACCACTTATAACATGCTTAAATATGTCTTCAGTATTCCAACCTTCATATGGAATTTTTTCATAACAAAGTTCCCAAATAAGCATTCCAAAACTAATTACAAAATAATTAGAACAATGTTCAAATCTTAATTCAAAGATCCTTACTAAGCGATAAATACCTAAATACTTCATAATGAAAATTGTATTTTTTTTCATTAGAATTTTTATATTTTTCTAATAATTCAGGTGCCATCCAATGTACAACATCTGTTGATGTTTCAGTCAAATAAACAGACCCATGATCAACTCGTTTTCTTTTAAAATTCCCAAGTTTTGGTTCCAAGTCTTTTCCTTGTATCTATTATTTAAATTATTAGTAATTTGTTATTCATATGTTACGTATGTGTTGCATTTAATAATAATTTAATTAAATTAATTAAAATTTACGTAAACATTTTTGCACCTAAGGTCATTATGGAAAATATTTAAACTACGTAAATATACAAGGCCACGACAGATGTTTTGAATGATTTTTATTTTCCTAGCCCAAGGAATATTATATTTGTTATAAGTCTCTTTTAAAGTTCCATATTCAACCCAATCAAAAACCATAAAATCACGGTCAAAATATGTGAGTCCATAAAAACGAAGAATATAAGGTGATTGACTTAATTTTCCAAGTAATGCTAATTCTCTTTCATTAGTTTTAGGATATTTAACATATTTGCACGCAACCTCAATCGTACCATAAAGCTTTTTAATGATAGTACCATAAGCACGAATGACATCAGAAGGGCCATTAAGTTCATTTTTATCAATTCTTTGTGCGTGCACATCACTTTATTGATCATTTAATTTGGATTGCATAATGGCTACACTTTGAACTAAGGCTTCAAGCTTTTGATTGGGATTACCGACTCCAATATCAAGTTTTATGAGAATCTAAAAATAGTTAAAAATATGTAGATGGATTTTTTTAATATCATTAAAAAAAGTTTTTTATTTAAACCAAAAAATCATTGTATTTTTAATAATTTACTTCTTCGACTTCGTTTAGAGATTCTTCAATCTTTCGGGCTTCTTCTTTTAAATCATGTTCATTGACGACAGTAATAGAAAAATGCAAATCTTTCATGCATCTATCATATTTTTCTATCAACCTTCTTAACCTTTCTTTAGTTACTTTTACGGTAAAGTATTTTATAAAACTTTTATACTTTGATACTTTATCAGTAAATTCTTTAATATTTTGTAAGGTATTTTCATAGCATTTAAAAGCCAAATAATACGAATTTTTACGAAATTTTTCTTGATTTCCTTCAATATTTTTTATATTTGTTTCTATGAGCTGCTCTGTGTTCTTTACTCGTTTAACCAGAATTTCACAAATTTGTTGATTACATTCCGCATCTCGGTAATGTTCATAAATTTGTTTAGTTATCTTACTTATAGTATTGACTATGGGAAAATAGATAGCCAAAATGTCGATAACAGTATCGGCAATTATTTTGGAAGAAGTGTCTGCAGTTGTTTCATTAGAAGTATCTGTAATTCTCAAAATAATTAGGTTTTAGCCCAATGAGACAAAATTTCTTCTATCATATTATTCAAGAAATTAAATATTATTCAAATGCATACCTTTCCCAATATTACGACGCTCGCTAAACTCTGAAATTGTCGATGTCGGCATATTCTTTGAAAAGACCTCATCTACTGAAATGTTAGAATTGGCAAGAATATTTTTATTACTACTATTAATGCGATTTATAATAAACTCTACAGTAGTTTCTGTCGATAATCTATTGAGTTCATCTAATACTTTGTTCAAAAATGGGCGTTGATTCGGATCAGCTGACCAACAGCTTTCGATAAGTTTAGCATAACCTAAGGGTGTATTGTCAATAATATTTTCTCTGACACCTGAAGCAATTTTGAAAGCAATATTTTCACTGTGTAAATTATGAAAAGGTGGGACTCCACTTGTAAGTTCCCAGAATAGTACGCCTAGACTATAAATATCCGATTTTTTATTGATTTCGTCTACTTTTTCTTCGGATTGGGCACATTGTTGTGGTTCTACGTATGCAAGTATAGCTCTGCTTGAAGCGGCACCATTAGTAATACCATCTAAATGTTTTGATATTCCAAAGTCAGTGATCAGTGCCACGTTATTATTTATTAATATGTTCATAGAGTGCTATATACAAGATATAAAAAAATATTGTCAATTTAAAATTTAGGCAAATTAGAGAGGATATTTAAGAAAATATGTCTTACCAGGTCTCGATGAACTATATTTTTGTCATGTAGATGGGCTAATCCAGATGTAATTTCTTTCGCAATTCGGATAAGATCGATCCATAAAATTTTATAAAAACCATCTTTTTGTTTGCTCTGTAAATGATCTCGGAGACTACCACCATTGGCATACTGTAACACCACCAACATGAAATTACCCGTCGCAATATCTAAAATTTAGATAGTTTAGGTTTGTTGAAAAAATTATTTTGGGATTTTGTTAGAAAAATTATAGGTTTGGTTTAATTACTCGGATTTTATTAGATTATTCCATTGTATAATTTCCAAAACTATACTTGAGACATTGGGGTGTTCGGTAAACTATGTAAATCAAAACTATATATGGTATCATATAAAAATTTATTATTAAAGATTTTTT